AACAAAACTTTATCTTTTATTAAGTAGCTGTGATTTTTTGAAGTAGCATGCTGTATTTTTTAAATCTTTATTTCTTCTTTTTGTTATTGTTCCTTTCACAATTTAGTTACATTTAGAACTGTGTTATACATATAACCGTGATTATTGATTATTTTTTAAGCGATTACTTTATATTAAAAAACTACATCAAATTTTGAATACAGCGATTGTGATGTCGACTCGTGCGTTAATGAGTATTTTAAAATATATCTCGCTCTAATGAGGTTTGTTCTAAATTGATATTTCTTCCCCACTTAATTTTCCTCTTTATCTATCTTCCTTTTGTTTTTCGTTTCATCTTCTCACGTATCGCATTATATTTACACACTCCTTTCCTATTTTTTCATTTTCATTCTTCTTCTCGTTCTCGCGAAGGTCGTGATTTGCATTAGTGTATATCTCTACAATTGCGATAATTGGTCGAATATGAAGTTGTAAGATTTCTCAGATTTCTGCACGATGTTGCGAATCGATGACAGCGAGAATGATAAAAAATGAATGATTCTCATAAAAAAGTCATAAATGCAATAACAAATGACACGTGTATTCATTGGATATCAAAGGTATTCTTGAAGAAGAATATCGAAATTTCATCTTGGAAAAGTTTTAATCAGCGAGCACATCCTCTTGAAAAAATGTACATTAATGTATATGTTTAAGGAAATAAATAATTAAAAAAATATAATTTATTGATGTAAAATGAAGATTTTGTTAATCACTTTAAAATCTTTAAACTTTCTCTATTTTTATGTTTTGATTTTTCCATTCTCCGCTATGATTTATATTTCATTCAAAAATCAGATAAAATACATAATAAGTACATATATACATATTAAAATTTATCAATTATTTTTATATTCTTTTATCGTTCTTTTTTGTTCCTTTCTACTGCTCGCTGCGAGTTTATCGATACGTGTAATCCAATTCTTGAAGAAATCATATTATATTAATGAGATTAATTTGTTACTCGAAATTACAGTGTTCGGATAGTTTCGATTTGGCATCGTACAACGGAGTCTTTATAATTAATTCGCCGATGTACTTTAAAGATCAAAAAGACTCCTCTGTGTTCAATAATATTCTTATATCTTATATCTGTATAACTTATATAACTTTAGAAATTATTGAGATTTTCTTTATACCGATTATATTATGTTAAAATATTACAAGATAAATAATAATAATTATTATATTTTAATTTAATTATATATATATATATATATATATATATATACATATACATATATTATAAAATTACAATAAAATAATTATTAATCTATCTTGCAATATTTACTCAACATAATTTAATCGGTGTAGAAAAAAATCTCAATGAATCAATTCTAAAATTATATAAAAATATTATTGAGCATGAGGAGTCCTTTTGATCTTCAAAGTCTTCAATGATTTAATTATAAAGACTCCGTTGTACGATGTTATTGCGAAACTGTCCGAACAGCTAATTAATGAGCGGAGCCTAACAAGTGAAGAGTGTTTTGAGCAGTAATTGTGTTGAAAATATATTGTATGGATTTTTCAAATATACGCCAGATTGGAATTTTATAATTACTTGCACACGTGGCATCTGAATTCGTTTGAAACCATAAAAACTGCTGTTAACTCTTAAAAATAAGTTCAAATAAATTAACGAGTTATATGTTTTATTGACCTAGTGGCTATTAGATATTGAAATTTTATGCACGAGTATGAGGTTGGTAAAATTTTGGTCAATCCTTTGGCCATCAAATCGCGCATTAATTTCTGAACTATCTTTAACTTTTGCATACTATGAAATTGGTTTTTTTAATATTTTTTAGCCTCGGGCGAGTTGCAAAGATTCGCATGATGGATGAGCCAGATGTCTAAGTGTGCTATTTCAAGATGATTATTGATAATGACTGGCGCTTAAGCATCAGCTGCTTCCAAAACTAATCAGACGGAAAGATATTCGATAAAAAAAACCTTATTGTTTCCTTTATTATAAGTACATCACTAATTTAAAATTTAAATAAAAATCTACGGAATTCAAATTTAAATGTAAATTTGATCAGAATCTGTAAACTAACACGTAATTTGAGGTCTCATAAGATCGAAAAAAAAACATCATATTTATATATTTTCTCTACTTTATCTTTAGATCTAAAACTGGAAGTGCGATTTTTGAAAGCATTTTAGCTCGAATTCTCTCGTGGAAGTCACGGTGCCTGATAATAATAAGTGACTGATAATGATAAATGTATCTTTTGCCAAAGCAATTAACATCGCAACATTTCGCTGTTGCAACGTTAAATCGAATTTCTATCCGAGTGAAGCTTTAGATTATTCGCAAAGAGATGAGCGTATAGTCGAGACTCTATAAAGACATATTAGTTATCGAAAACGAGCTCTTTCACAATGTTGTTGCCTAGTATTCTTTGAAAATATTTGAATACCTTAAAAATGTTGTAGTATGCGAGTTGTAAACTGTTAGACATTCTTAACAGTTAACAATGTGCATGTGTATGTTCTTAATATGTGTATCTTTTCTCATTTAAAATTCAGTGAACTTCCGTCGTTTGAAGAATATACGACCGTCTCGCAATATGCACAGACGCTATCGATTTTGCAGAAGAAAAATGTATGTCGGCGATTAAAAAGGTAACGTTGAAAGTATTCAAAGTCACTTTCATTGCGTAAGTGACCTGCTCTGTTACATATTGAAAAGTTTGCAAGTGAAATCGATAAATAATTTATAGCCTGCGCAATAAAGATAATGCACATCTATTGACGTGTATTTCGCGTATTTGTAATTATTCGTAAGTTATAAATTGATTTTAAAATATTTTAAACGTTGTATTTCTTCATTAACGACTAAAGTCATTTTAAATAAGCCAATTTTTATTTTATTAAAAAATGTTAAAAAAAATGATGAAAGGATTATACGAAATATTCTTCCCAATTATAATATAAGAATTACATAATAATTCCTAAATGTATTACTGTCTAAGTTATTACGTCTTTTTAATTCACTATATATAGCATTAATAATAATAAGAAGCGATGAAAAATGTATTATTTAAACAATCTTTACTGTCAATGTTAATCTCAACATTGAAAACGCTCATCCTCCTTGAATACATGAACTGTTATTATTTTTAATTCGCCAACACAAGAATACTGTAATATATCGAATGCGATAAACAAAGTAAAATTTCGAAATGTGCCCTCGGACCTCTTCCGTTTATCGCGTCCGCTATTCATTATGGCATTAACTAGCTCTTGACTTATTGATCTAGGAATAATAATTTTTTTGTCTTGTCTTTTGCGCAAAACTGCCAATCTCTCGCGTTTGGCTACAAAATATTATCGTTTAGACTACAACGTCAATCCTTTATAATACCTGCAATTTTCTAGATAGCGAGTGATTCAAGATTTTAGACTATTTAGAGGAAAGGTATTCGCAATTTTTGATTACACGAATTTTTCTTACAGAATGTAAAATATCTATCTTCATGTTGTTGAGATTGATATAATTGAGCCAGTCGATTTGTCGGCGCTCTCTGTTATTTCGTAAAGCAATGCGCATATTTTTATCTAATTAAAAAGGATTTTATGATATATATTTAACGATTATCAATTAATTAAAATTTTGTGATATGCCAATGATTATAAAAACTGCAGCTCCTATACGCGATATATTCATATCAATTAAATTTGGACACTAAAAATTAATTTTATATTTTAACAAGATAACAGAATCTCTGGATTCTTTGATTACGAATTGAACATTTGAAAAATGTATTATAACATAATATTAAAGGATTTAACTTTTTTTTACAATTTAACTCACTTTTCTCTCTTGATTTTATAAGATTTGAACTGTTTTTGCACTGTTTTGTTTTTAAACACATTTTTTAAAACGTTCAATTCGTAATCAAGGAGCTAAAGAATCCAGAGATTCCAATATCAAATTTTTTTATATTTTTAGATATAGCTGATTTGAATATTGGCTACTCGATATATCGAATGATCGCAGAATTGGCTGGAAAAATTCTTTGGTATAGTAAAATTATGGTAAACATTATGGTAAATTCCGATTTTTACCGTCTCAGACTTTATTCTGGACTGGAATAAATTGCACAAACTATAAAATAAATGACTAAAAATTGTGACTAACAAAGAATTTAAGATTAAGATTAAATGCAACTAAACATAAAGTCATGAGAGCCAATATTAGATGCAAAATTTCTTGGATTTATTTATAATAGTAGTAGCATTAAAAAATGTTGTTATTAATTCAATTTAAATCTAGTTCACGTTTATTATATTTAAGGTGGTTTTATCGAGCAAGTCCCAGTCAAAAGTTAGTCCCTCCGTATGACTAATAATTCAATAAAAACAAACGTAATTCAATAAAAACATTTCGCATAGACTGTATATATGCGATATGTGTGACGTTTATGTGACAACGTTACACTATCGAGTTGGCGTTGAGCGATAAAACCACCTTAACATCTTGTAACACACACAAAGCTAATGTATTTTTACGTATTTTATCGCTTTTAATAGAAAAGACTCACTGCAGTTGTCTGGAAAATACCGATAAAAACCGGTTTTCACTACATTGGCACGGACTCCATTCAAAAAGTATGGAATTTTGCCAATTCTGAATGAGATCCTCCACGAGAAGAGAAGAAGTGAAAAAGAGAGAGGAAAGAGATGCACCAAATACCTGGACGCGACGCGCATGCTCCGCTCGGAGCGCGTCGAAATTTGGAGCAGCTGACGCCAGCTGACGGGCGTTTAAAGGCATCGCGACAGGACAGGCGGTCCCCGATATATATATACATATGCACGTGGATACGCGCGCGTAATCCGACCGCGCGCGATACATCGCATTATTACATCGCTGATAACTCGGTGTGGCGTGGGCCGTCCGTGTCGCCGGGCCGCCGCGGGCGCAGTGTGCCAATGGATCGCGTGACGCGCGCTGGGGAACCGTACACACGGCGCACACGCGACTCGTAGGTTAGACCTACCCGCGGAGATCCCGAGATCGATCGACGTGGGCGCAAGGAAGGAAGAGGAAAAAGGATCCAGAGCCGGACGTCACGATGCGGGCGACTCTCGCGGTGTTCTGCGTCTTCCTCGGCTGCTGCACCAACGTCGTGTTCCTGGAACTGCTGGTCAAGTGGGTAACCCATCGTCGATGACAAGGCCACTGTCTGCCTTGTTGCATAACGGCGCGCGCGCTGTACGCCGTCCAGTTGAATTTTCATAACTTCGCCTTCCACTTTTATCGCTCTTTTTATTTCTCTCGGCTGTATTCTCGGATGTAATAATTCGTTGCGGTGTTTGAAGGTGAAACCGTTGCTCGTAACGCTTAATTCGAAGACATTAAATTACAGCGAGCGTTACAGCGCGATATGCGTCGTTATGATTAAAGTAATGACTCGCTCCGAAAAAAATGAAAAGTGGGAGACTGACGGTAAAACTGTTTTCAGGGATGATCCCGGCAGTGGGAACCTCATCACGTTCTCGCAGTTTCTCTTCATAGCCCTCGAGGGATTCCTCTTCACGTCCAAATGCGGCACCGTCAGGCCGACCATAGGCGTAAAGGATTACTTTATTCTGGTCACAATGTTCTTTATTGCCAACGTATGCAACAATTATGCTTTCGACTTTAATATTCCCATGCCGCTGCATATGATATTTAGAGCCGTGAGTAGCAGAGACAACATAGATTCGTACGTTCCGATGGCAAGACTTTGCTGCAAGTGGACTGTACGTCGTACTGTTTCAGGGCTCCCTTATAGCCAACATGATTATGGGCATAATTATTTTAAACAAGAAGTACCCGTTCAGCAAGTATTTGTCAGTATTCATGATCACCACGGGAATAGCGCTCTGCACAATCGTCAGCGGCAAGGAGATCAAGTCCCTGCAGCAGAAGAACGTGGTGCAGGTACCCACGACCCCGTGGGACGACCTCTTCTGGTGGGCCTTGGGCATATCCCTGCTCACGGTCGCTTTATTCGTTTCCGCTAGAATGGGCATCTATCAGGAGGTACTGTACAGCCGGTACGGTAAAAACGCGCGGGAGGCCCTGTTCTATACGGTAAGTAATCTTTTTCCTGCGTTAAATATCAACGTCGTCATCATCATATCGATCGTTTCGATCGATAATAAAATGCATTTTTTTTCCCCTTTTACAGCACCTGTTACCCCTGCCGTTCTTCCTGACGCTGGCGCCCAATATTTACGATCACTGGAACTTCGCGCTCGCGTCCGAGCCGTTAAGGCTGCCTGTGATCGGTGTACATATACCGTCGTTAGTCGCATATTTAATTGGAAATATTCTGACGCAGTATCCTTTTCTAAATTATCGAGCTGTATTATACCACGTACAGTGCAGTGCAATGATTCGCGCTGGGTCCTTAGGCTTTAGGCCTGTTCTCTATAGCTGAACTGGCTGCGCTAGCTCAGAGTTTATCTTTCTTCTTCCAATATAGAAAGAGAAAGATGAACTGTGAACTAGTGTGCAGCAGTTCAGCTATAAAGAACAGGCCTTTTGTGTCGCGATGTCTCGGCACGTGGAGAAAAAGATAAAAACACTATATCGTCTAATTCACTATCATATAATTCGAATTTAAGCTATCGATAAAGTTAAAAATTGATCCGTTTAGTCGTTGAGATCCGATAATCTCGGGTGCTCGTAGACCCAGTGAATTATTGCACTGTACACGCGATATCAACGCAACCGACGAGTGACACTCGTCTCCCCCAAGAGATTCTCCTTAACTGTCAACTTTCAGATACATGTGCATCAGCTCTGTATTCGTATTAACCACGGAGTGCAGCTCACTCACAGTCACTCTGGTAATAACGCTGCGCAAGTTCCTGTCGTTGTTATTCTCTATACTCTACTTCAAGAATCCGTTTACGATACATCACTGGATTGGTACGCTGCTAGTCTTCTTAGGTACAATTATCTTTACGGAAGTGATACCAAAGATTATGCAAAGCTTACAGCGAGTATCTAAGACGAAGAAAGCGGAATAGGTACACTTTAATTTTAAGATTAATAAATAATCATATCTTTTATCTCTATTGACTATTATTTAATTGCTGAATTGTTCAAGACATTTTTCTAGCGTATAGTTGCGTTATTTCGATACATACAAAAAGCAGCGTAAGAGAGATTCTCGATTAGATGTGACATGAAAATTTTCAATGTCCATCCGTTGTTTTTATATAAATTTATATGCTTCTGTAAAATAATAACGAATTTAAAAATGTAATAATAGCGAATGATAGTGAATTTAAAAATGTAATAATAGCGAATGATAGTGAATTTAAAAATGTAATCTCTCTACCTCAATAATATTTTCATAATTGAATTAATGGATAAAAAAGAAATATTCTCTCTTTCGATTACTGTGTATGTACTTGATGGATTAGTTTTGTTAATGCTTGCATATAAATTGGGCTGTCTCGTTGGTTCGATCAATAATTTCGCAAATTCGGTTTTAACGATGCAAGTATATTTCCGTTTATTTATAGTATATATATATATATTTTTTTTTTACAATAAATATATATCTTTCTATCTAGCAACAATTTAATTTAAATTCGGTATTTAGGGCACAGTGTTTTCGAGTGTTTATAGATGATCGTATATCGCTTAATTTGAATCCACTTCGGCTCGTTGTTCGGAAAGGTCTCTCGGAAAATGGCAGACGCAAAAAATCATAAAAGAGCCACAAAGCTAAAATAATAAGAGACATGTTTAGGTATATCGTTGCATGATACCTTGGCACGCATGTTTATAGCTCGTAAAATACCTTAGTTACAATCTAATTAAATTAATCGCCTATTTACACTATCTACCTGTATGGAGAGAAGGGTGTACAATGGCACGAGTTAACTATCCGCATACGAGCCAGCTGTATGAATTGCTCGTCGAAACAATTAAACGTCATACACGATTACGATATAAATGTACAAAAATGTAAGAAAATAAAGCTAAAATCCAAGAAAGAGGTACCGCTGTCGCCGTACACAGCCGAGATATGATAAAACGGATTTACTTTATCACGAGCTTAACGTCAAGGTAAATGAACGTAATATTCGTTTTTCTAGCCTAGTACTTTGTATTACAATTACGTACGCCTAATGTGTTATTATGAACGTTGCAACGATAGAAGAAATATCTTCTAACAGCTATTATTAAATTGGTCAACGTATATGTATAATTTCTGATTGATTTACTCTTGCGATTGTAGTCGTAAAAAAAGGATGAAAGATGAACGATACACATGTAAAGTTCATAATTTGTCTAAGCAACGATTATGGATTTTTATAATAAATTGTGGAATCAATTCAGATACTGATTCCATAATTTAGTAAAGGATTGTAATGGCGAAATATTACATTGGCCCTTTATCTATTTATAATCACGGTAGTCTCGCATTCCGTTAGTCACGCGATTACATATTACTATCTCAAGTGCATTTTCACGTTGAAAAGTCTGTGATATATAAGATACATGTTTTTAGATCACTTGATATTGTACTTTATCTAAAATATATGAATTCGATCGATGTTGTTAAAGTTTTATCCTCGAGTTATACTCTTGACGTGTCAAGAGGAAAAGGAGCAATTGTAATTATATTTTTAAAAAAATTTTTTTTTGCTTGTGAATTCGCGAATGTTCGAAAAAAAAAAACATTCTGTAGTCAACATAAAAAAATCAGAAATCACAAGAATAAATCATACGAATAATCATAATTCGTCGATCGTTGAGTTGAACATTATTTCACGATAATCATTTTCCCATCGGTTTGATTAAAATCCAAATAATAATTGGTTATTAAAACGGAAGTGACTCAGGTTTCTCCACGACCTTGAAGATATTAGACAGTTCGTCAACCAAGGTTTCGTATCGATAGGCCACTCGTATGTCCGGTACGTTGGTCCGAGTGATATCGTTACCAGCGACCCCCTCCTTCGTATAATTAGGTCCCAGCCAGTACTGCTTACTCTGTAAAATAAACGATTGAGTCGCATTCCATGCATCGAGCGTTCACGCGTCAAGCGAGAATCGGGAGAGACGCGTTATCGCTGTAATAAGGTGAGTTTATTCAGAAGAGACATTAGTCTCTTGGAAGATATCTTTATTAGACCTGTTATAATTGCTCTTTACGTACACAGAAGATTGGAGAGCAGATATAATTACCTTATGCGGAAAGCCGCTCATGAGTACGGAATTGCGTGCTAGCTCGCACATGTCGCACGAACTGAGTTTCCACACTTGCGCAGCAATACTATATTCTTCCATTAGGGGTTCCTATAATGAACACATTACACTAGAATATTAGATCAACATTATGGCGCGCGCGTGAACCATGAGATATACTAAATACACGGATATATAATTATTATAGATATAATTAGAGATACTTTTTTACAGATATAATTAGAATTATTTTTTTTACATTAGCGAATCTTATAAGATAGATGTATTATTATACTCTGTTTATAATACGTAATAGTGATTTCTCATTTACCTTGGTAAAATGAAACTGGAGAGGATCGTCCGTGGACAAGCTTATACACAGTCCTCTAGCAAGGTATTCTGGAAGCGGGTTACGGTGATAGTTGAGGAAAAGCGAATTGTTACTCAGCGGCGACATAGCGATGCCGATTTGCGCCAGGTAGTACAGGTACTGCAGAACGGGAACTTTTCGGAGTAATAGGCCGTGCGAAATGTTCTCCGCCATCATGTAGCCGCACACGAGATGTTGAACTGGTCCCGCTTCGCCGCAGTGAGGTCTCAGGACAAATGTATTGAAGCCTTGTTCCCTGTAAGAGATTTCACGTCCGGAATAGAGTGAGATAATCAGGCTTGGAGTAAAATGAAGAAAAAACTTGATAATCGACATACGCTCTAAAGTGATTGAGGACCGTCATATTCGCGTAAGTGTAGTACTGGTAATATCCGTACGGCGGGTTCTCTATGTCGTCCCATTCTGCGGGTGGGCAAACGTCTTTATCGAAGAGAGGATTTTCCGGCTTACTTTCATCGTCCACGGAATCGAAACCTATTACCTGTGTGGCGATAACATGGCGAACGTAAAGCATTTAGAAAAGTACGAGAACGGTAACAAAAACGGATTTAGAAATAGAGAACGCATTGAAACGTACGTATTGAAGAAATTTATGCAGCTCCGGATGAGAATTGGGATCGTTGGTTACTTCAAAGAGCGGCAGGAAGATGTTGTTGATAATCTCCTGGAAGTTCGTCATGAGCTTGTTCAGCTTAAAGATATCGCTGTAACGTGAAATGTGAGCGTTGAGAGATCCGTTGAGCCTTAAGTGTCGCGCGTATCGTACGACGGACTTACTATAATCTAGGAATCTGTATGAGCCAGCGCACGTTATCCGAATAGACGTCGCTCTGGATCGCCCACTTAGCCAACTTGTCCCACTCCTCTGGACTCTTGCCATAGATCGAAAGACGCAGCTCCGCGTTCTGATACTTGGACTCCTCAAGATCGCTCGCGACCTCCTTGATTATCCGCGCGAAATACGTGCCGTTCAGAAAGTTGTCGGTCTTGAGGAAAACTTCACGCAGGCGGCTCTCGCCGATGGGATTGTACTTCGCGTTGAACTTGTCGAATCTGTGGAACGTGTTCCTGTCCTGCGGAAAAAAAAGAAAAGTGACGCGTAATACTTTTCCGAGACATCCTCGATATCTTGATGCAAGCGGAAAGATAAGATATATACTTACTGCATGCACGTCCAGCATGTCGACGCTCAGATCGTAGGTCGTCAGATTCATGGACTGAAAGACTTCGCGGAGTGTCATGGTCTCGCCGGTTTTGGAACAAGTGACCACTTCGTCGGCGTGATTCTTCAACGTTTTCTTGATGAATCTAAGCAGGTGCTTTTGATTCATGCATGAAGCCGCGTGTATGTGAGTGTCGACCTGTGTGAAATCGATCATTGCGCAATTCAATTGAAATTAAAAAATAAAAAAACTCAAACTCTACATGGAGAGAATTTTTGTTTAATTTACCTTGCAAATCATGTTAATTGTGGGACAATATAGTATTTAGGAAAATTTTACTGTGCACTACAATAAACTTGACAGTAGTAAAATACAGTAAAATTTAGATCGAAGAGCACAGTAAAATTTGCCTAAATACTATATTGTCTCACAATTAATATGATTTACAGGGTAAATTTAAAAAAAAATTCTCTCCGTGTATATATATTTATATGTACATATATATAAACTCTAGAGTCTTCTTTAATTTTCTGCTTTGAAATTGCATTATCCCGTTTCTAATTTTAAGTATTGATTTTACAAATTATAATCGCGATACACTTGCGAATATCGAATTGTTTGCGCACCGACCTTTCTGATGTTGTAGAAGTCCCTGTGCGGCACGGCCTTCTGACTCGCCAGCTCCCTGAGCTCGTTTAGCAGCACGTGCAGCTGATACTTGGAGGAGAGGTAACTCAGTCTTCGGTAGCAGAAGGATTTCAAGGGTCCGTCGGCGATCATGACGCAGAGGAGGTTCATGTCCCGGACGAAGGTCGCCAGGTCCGGATACGAATACGGGAGCGGCTTGCCGTTGGCCAGGTCCTCGTCACTCGCGAACAGGTTGAACACGCCGTTGACCGGTACGATCTTGTAGTTCTTCGTCGGTGGAAACTCGCATTCCCACGGATCGCCCCGAGAGGCGGGCGCGTGTACCGGGTGATCTGTCGATAATCGATCGAGGCCACATGTTAGAGGAGCGTCGTTTAACGCCAAATGCTTTTTTGCCGCAGCGCTGTTTGATTTATTGCCGAGATAAAATTATCTCGCGCGTATCGTAAAGAGACTCTACGACGGATTAAAAAGTAGCTAGCTTATTACAGTGATTCGAAACAGCGTGCAACAGGATATTTAAGGTAAGGATATTAATAGGTACTAGGAAGACCTGTCCGACTGATGTTTTTGATCAGCGCGTCGATGTCCGTTTCGGATTGAGTGTCTTCGATTTCATTCGCAATATCCAGCAGCTCATTCCCTTTAGGAAATATGTAATAAAACTGGCATCGTATATATTCTTCATTAACGCATAAAAATGTGTGGTGTTTGGCATACTAAAGCTGCAGTGCTTTGTACGAAGCTCCGCCGCGATGAGGAGCCGCGATGATTAGACGCGCATCGCTGGGCTCGACGAAAAAGAAAAGGAAAAAAAATTACACAACACACACGCACGGTATAGCTCGATGTTGTTATTGCCGTTCGGCGCTTGAAGCGTTAAACGTTAATGTTAATTGCGCTGGAATGTTTTATGAGATTACAATCACGTTTCCTTGATACACAACATCACGAGGGAGGGTCGTCCAACGGGAAATGCACGGTAGAGGTATGGAATTGGTAGGTACGGATTGGATTTCCAACATATGACTTTGAGATTCGAGCCGCCTTCTCAATCAAACGATAGCTACCTTTGATGGCCTTGCGATCGTCGTGGTGAACTTCATCGTCCGTGGTGAGCGGCCGTTTATCGATACTGCGCAAGAATCTAGAGGGAATAGTGGGGAAGCTCTGCTTGGAGTTGTTCATGTATTTTTCGCGTATCGCCAACGCCTGCACCAACATCTTAGAGGCCCTTTGAAGATCTTCCAGAGGTACCTACGTGTAATTAATTTTTAAAGATAAAACGCAATGACATATAAATCAGACAGAATAAGAGACGCAGCAACGAAATAATTTTACAAATTATCAATCATATTTTAATCATTTTCCTGTTAATTGTAAAATATTCGTTATTCATTATGACATAAAAATCTTTATTATGTAATAAAATAACGTAAAATACATATATTCAGTTTGATTTAAAATTTAATAAAATATTTATGCTCAAAATAATTTTGATATATTTCATATATTAATATTAATATAGCGACAAAATTAATATAGATTAAAGGCATCATTTAAATTAGTGTGGACATAGGATGAAGAGAGAACGGATAAAGATGACCAAGGGTTTCACGCGTAAATCCGCAGTCCCAAGGTTTCCATTTCACACAAAATCTCTAGGGACATATAATGTATAATAACGAAACCACAAAGTTACATCTCAACTATATCGAGCCCATGTCGATTATTTGATAATAGGTACCTTATAACCATTATTTCTCGAAAAATATCTTATAGAAGATCAACTTTTTGTGAATTTTTATCATTTGTAAATTTTATCAATCAATCAATTATCAATCTTAATTTTTATCTAATCATTATATATTCAACAAATTATAACCGTGATAAAGATACTCGTAAATAATTTCCAAATTATCGCGTTATTCAGTAAATAATAATAAATACAATTGTTCGGAAAAATAGTCATGAGAATCATAAAGTGTTTATTAAAAAACCAAATATAAGTCTAAAATTAACAGTCTGAGAATGAGACTCACTCCGGAAGTGTCCTCGCCGGATACGGAGACTCGTTGAAAATGAGGCACGAAATCATTTTCTTCGATTTTAAAGCTATGATCGATGTCATCGGGAACGCCTGTATGCAGCGACGGCTCGTAATGACTGCGACGTTCCTCAAGATCCTTTGCAGCTCTGTTAAATAGAAAAAGGGATCGTTGACTCTTCGAGAAATCTATTTCTTTCAACGTAAAATAAAATTTTGCAATGAAGTATACCTTCATACAAGATGATTCGCAATTTTTCTGCGAAATATTGAAAGCAAATTTTTTCTTTAAATCCGTGACGAAGATTTTTATTAAAATAATTTATCGCAACCTTTTAATTTTTAATATTAAATGTCTCTGTAATTAAAATTGACATTTAAAAAAATTTATTAATATAAAAATTGAACAAATCTAGTAAAATGTAATATCTATATTTGTTCAAAGGCTTCAACATTCTACCTCATTTTCGTTTCGCTTCAGACGAAGCGAGAAATTTTCTTTCATATCGTTATACACATGTATATTAAATGTTGCCCCGTGCAGAACGGTATCTAAAATTATCTTGTACAAAAATGTCGATATAGGGGAGAATTTATGGCGGAGTTAATTCACAGGTTGCAACAGAGACAAATGAAATACACTTTCGTGATCGAGAGTCTTCAATCGCAAGAGAGTTAAATTCGACGAAGTCGCGATAGATACTTCACTGGACTTTTGACCCGAGGGTTATCAGTGAATATCGAGGCGATATTCTTTTTTTCATATGTAAGCATGCAAGCAAATTAAAAGCTCCGTGAGATAACCGCTCTTTTATAATTAAGGCATCACGCATGAGATGTTCCATTAATGCCTCTCCATATATCTCGCAGTTTTATTTCCTTTTTTTATTTCCTTATGTCCATAATTCTAATAATATTATCAGGACGAGACTGTTACGCATTAAAAATAATATATCACTGACGAGAAATATTAAAATGGTTTGCAAAATAGCACGAAATAAGAAGATAATTATTTTCAAGGTAATTTTAAATATCTTTTAAGTCGGACACAAAAAGTACCACGTTAAAAAATTAATATGTAAAAATTAATATAAAAACTATAAAATATATTAACTATAAATGTTATACTAATATTGTAACATTACTATATTATTAAAAATTAATATATTAATGTTGTATTGATATCTCAAAATAATTATCAAAATTAATAATTCAATAACCTATACTTTTAATTACAGTATTTAAATTCATTAGCACTATATTAAATCGCACGTTTGCCCCCCAGATAATGTGGCATTGAAGGCATAATATAATAATTTATTAATAATTTACAGCGTATATTGAACAAATAAAAACAACAGATATCGAATCGATAATCGATAATCCAAAAGTTAGCAACAAAATTGCATGTTCGATCTACACGTTTACAGGAATCTATAAGAAATAAGCCGTCTTGTTCTCAACAATATCAAGGCACGAATTACCTCAGGAGAATCCTATTATCCCTCGTCCAACGTTTCGACTCGTTCGCGTCGGCGAACATGTTACGCGAGCGATACCACGTGCTGGAGATCGATCGCTGTGACGCGCGGAATGATTCGCGGTGCGGAAGCGCGAGTCGAGTGCGACGCGACGCAGCAGATTCGTGCCGCGCTTTTCGCCCCACGCTCATCTGACACTCGCCCCGGCGAGTTTTCACGGGCGCGATACATGGGATCCCATCGCCGCCGCCGGGGGGATTCGATGGGCTTCCACTCGTAGCAGTCCCGAGCGGCGATCGCCGCGGATCGCGTTCGTTTCTTCGGCCTGACGGCGTTCCTCGATCACAATCGCAGATCGGCCGCGTCGCCCGATCTTCGGTAACCCGGGCGGAAATCTCCGCGATCTTTCATGATTAGTCGGCCGGAACACCCGATAAGTTCTCCTTACGGTAGCTGCTGACAGGGCGCATGGCAGCCGCGCGGTCCTTTCCCGATTTCTTCCACCAATCTCATGCATATATCTCACCGCCCCGCTGCGCTCTGTCAAACGAATGTAAGTGTCGGTTCACAATAAGGATTTTAAGTCTTACACCGTAAGATATTGACCAATTACGATCGATTATTCCCCTCATATTTGACTATGATTGGCCTATTTCTTACTGCTTAGGGCTTAAAATCCTCATTGTAGACCGACACACCAATCGTTCCGACTTCATATCGCTGAGCCGTCCGAGAATCACCATTTCATCGCGGGAAATTATGTACGTGCGTTTCGCGAAAAATATTTCCGCGCGTTGACAATCAGAATACGCGCGGCGAGAGTCACAGAGAAGCGAAAAAATATCAAATTAAAATTGCAGGGGAACAAATGGAAAACAATATGGAATTTATCCGATACGCAGATGAAGTTAATTCACGTGTATGAAGAAACAGATGGATCTTGAACATCATTTCTTTCAGATAAATATAATGTTTCGATCGCTGCACGCACATACATTACTGCTATTTCGTTCATACTCTTTGTCACACTGTTTTTCCATTTTTTTTATATCCTATCTAACTTACAATCAGTTGACAAATAGCTTGTGGGACGTGATGAAAGAGTAACCAAATTTCACGGTGTAACAGCAGTGTGCTATACGATGCTGCGGTAAAACGCGTTTATCACACCTTTGTATGTACCTGCCCGGTGTAATAAATCTCGCTAAACGCCGCGGCTAAAAAGTTCGTGGCAAGAAAATGCCAAAGTAGCAGATGTTATCAATTCATGGCGCACGACGCATTCGAATAAATACCTCTTTAAAGTTTCAAGATACTTATTCATATCGTCCAAGATTCTTTAAACTTTCTTCTTGCTAGAATCCCTTTTCATCATTTGCCTATAATCTCTGATCTGATACTTTTCCGCGAGATTTGAATTCGCGACACGTAAATTATAATAAGGGTGGCATGCAAAGAAAGCGGAGAGATCGGCGGGTTAATTTGATAAATTTTGCTTGTCGAAAGGCGGTTAAAGTCGCGAATTTGAATCGAATTCTCGGTGGAGCCTCGAATCGCGTATTGCACGTTTCTGCGTCATCGGCGCTGTTGACGCGGCGTTCGGGCGCAAGCGAGATGCGTCCCTCGCTTCAATTGACTCACTCGCCAACATCGGACGATCTCTCGTCCACGGTGCGCGCGGTTGGTGTAAGGATTAGTGCCGCTGCAGTCTCCCGATTATGTCACGTTTAAACGCGAGACCCTTAGCTCGCTACATCTCAAGCTCTCACGCTATACCAATTACGCGGATCGAACGTGTGTTGATGGCCGTTGGATTTGCAGCAACGGACGCTTTCGAGCTCCAGTAAATGTGATTGCATCGCGCGGCGCGGCGAGAGGGGATAAATCGATAAATCAAAATCTCTGATTCTCGAATCGATTGGATGGAGAGCGATTTAACGTAATCTGAATGGAGTTCATTATACTTGTGTGCCGGACGTATCAGATATGTATATATTTTTTAATAAATTAACTATCGTTCAATACAATTGCCGAGAACTTCGAATATTGTAAAATTCATCACGAGAAGGATATACTTTCGAAGAAACAATAATTAAATCATCTCCGCGTGCGTTCCCGCCACGTGACGCTAATTCATACGCGGGGATCCGCGTATACGCTGGTACATACATTAAACGCACTGCACGCCGCGGCCGAACCCGATATATGTCGTTTCGTCAGAACCCGGTGATTTGCGATAATCTCTATAATCGTAACGGCGACGGTTTAGCGCGAGGTTTTCCATTTTCCTCGTATCTGATCCGATCTCGCCGGTCGTTATACCGGTTTCGGTATCCGGGGCGACACGCGGTGCGGGGTGGGCGCGCGGGTGCCTCGTGCGAACGGTACCTAAAACCTCCTCCGCGCGCACGCAACTCCCTTTTTTTTCCCCAACCGTGCCGGAAGTCGCGTGTACGCCGCCGGGTGTACGTCCGGTGACGACGACGGTCGCACGAGCACTGAGCGGGTGGGCCGCTGTTGGAGGGCGGCTGATCGCGCGGGCAACCCCTTCGACCCATCCCCGCGCTCGGCGGGTCCCCTCGCGTCCCTGGCCGCGCGCGTTTTACGGCTCCGCTCTCCGATTGCATGTAAAAACGGCCGATACATGGTTTCCGCTCACGTGACGAAACTTCTCTGTACTGCACATTGTGTGCCTTTGTGCATGCTAAATGCGTCATTGAAATGCAGCATCATTGAAACGTATAGCGTGATACGCGCGGCGTATTTATCGCTTACTTAATTGGTCGCTCGGACCCCCGTAGACTTCCCCCCCCCTGCTCTAGTGATTTATCTGCAGCATCGTTATTTCTCCCTAAATATTACGAACGAACGATGTTATCGTCGAAAGATATATATATATATATCAAAATATATATATATATATATATCATTGCTTCTACGAGCGATATCGATATCGCCTCAATACCGCTGAAGTATCGTGAGTACTTCCAGTTAGGGGCAACAGACAGAAATATGAACGGGGCGAGACTACCTTGAATAAGCTTATATTGGCGTTTGTTTCACGACAAAGACCACAGGTACGATCGATTTTTGAGGCGGAGGTCGTTATACGGGGTGTTTCGCAACAAGGTTTGCGCGTTTGACGACTCTCTAAAAGCGGGCGCCTCTCCACGCCGAGATGAGAGAGCCTCTCCGTCTCACTTCTATCAGTTTTCTTTTCGCGGTTCGCGGTATCGACCTCTCTCGCCGAAACCCCTTCGATTGCCATCACCGGGATGATTCTATTTTTAAATAAGTATTAACGGTTATGACACACATTTCGAATTGAATTATCGTGTTACATTAAGCGTCTCGAGGCCAAACAGGCACACGTCCCGCGTTGAATTATTGATCGCAGCTTTATTGGCTGCAGCGATGAGAATTCCGTCCACGGCGACGACGACGACGACGACGACGATTTTATCGGTGATCAACGGCCGTCACAAGGTAATCCGCGGTTTTCATACGATTGGTAAACAGAGATTGCGTAGTCGATCTAAATAACGCGCAAATGCGCTCTCCCCTTGCCCCGCGACGTAACTTACGCGAATATAAATATATTTGCAATCATGCGCGTCACGTTTTTGGATACACTCAGCCAAATGTGCTCGGCTATCTTTATATTTTTGCTGATTTTTATTTTAAAAAATTAAAAATGACAAAAAATACGCACAACATTGGCTAAAAATAGCATAAATAATGAATGCGTAGTTCCCCTTATTTATAAATTGATAACTGAATCTTGGTCCATAAATAAATCTTGGCCAATAACGCCGTTTAATTAATTAAATTAAAATTTCATTCGCGATATTACGCAAATATTGTTGAATGCATTTCAAACTTAATTAAGCACTTCAATCATTGTCCAATAAATATGCGTGTGAATTTATAATTCTCTATATGTATATAACACGAATTCTCTCTCTGTGTACGTATAATATATAATACAAAATAGCCGGGCGTTGTTGTTAAAAGCGCAACTTTACGAAAATACGATAGAGAGCACAGAGTTCACTGATGGAGGCACGCAGGAGCTCGAAAGAGCGCAATCTGACCTACTAAATAGCAATGCGACATTTCTGTCGCACAAAATTCGCAAAATGTCCGCCTCGCGGGCCTCTCCAGTCGAGAGACGTGTGGGCGGCGTGACCTACCCAGTCACTATCTATCCGTTTTTTTTTCTTTATATATCCTTTGCTCGAATCTACATAATACATCACGGTGAAGTATCTAACGACGATAATAATTCCGAACTGGTTCGCGCAAACCCGACGTATCTACGTTGCGCCGTAAGTCGGCGTATGCCATGTACGTACAATAAAACACGTCGCGTATATAAAACGGTTTTCTCATTGTTACGCCATGCCGTAGGAAGTGGAACGGCTATCCCTGAGTGTTCGTATCAGCGTTCGATTGTCAACATTGCGAGTACAACAGAGACGCAGCGCGCGTCTCTGATATAATTAACTATATCTGCAACTATAAAATATTCGCGAATAGATTACGCGGATGTGATCAAAGTATTCCTCGAGTTTTTTCAGATTTTCAGATCATTGAGTTTGTTTCTTTTTCTCCGCTCTTACCTTCGCCGAATGCAAATTCTCGCTAAAAGCTTGGATAAGAAACGAATTTAATATTCCTTCAGCAGAGAAGCAAGCTAATTCAGGATATTCTCGGCAGGCGCGTTTAAAAACCGACCCACATCTCGCGATTAATACGACGGTCCCATGATACCATCGTGCAGAAAAATAAGCGATCTTCTCTATTCGTTTCTTAATTTTCCTTAAAAGCCTCCGAACAGACCGTGACACGTTTACCCGAGATGCCCAATGCGATCGCGATTTAGAGACGACGGCATGATTTTAAAAACACCAGAATGTTTAGATCGTTTATAAGATATAAAAAGCACGATATTTTTTAAATCGTGTCTTATTATATGGGAAAGATCTTTCTTCGAAATATGTGTTGCTCAAGGTTGCTATTTCTAAAAATAATGTCAGTTACATTCCTAGCGATTTTCACTGAATTTTAGTTTAAAACGTCAATTTGCTTAAATTTCCATGTTGCACAGATACCAAGTATATAGCGATCTGCATATAACACTCGGTGTTTTATTAGATACTCGATCGTGCGTGTATTATCTCGTACATAAAAGTACTTTATATCTTTCGGTATGGCAGTAATGCTTTAGTGTCTTCCGCACAGTCGTAAATATATCGCGATCTCGGCTTTATTACCGCCTGCTTGTCGACATCATTTTATCCCTCCAGATTATAACTTTTTGCAGCGCGTAATAATTATGCGGAAGATAATAATCGATAGTTCAGATAATTGAAATTAATCCTAACATCCTTACTCGATGCAATTTTAATTTACAAACTCTACACAAGTATGTTAGAGATATATATTACAGGTACATTAAATTGATGCAAAAGATTAATCGATTTACTGACAAGTCTTATATTAAGAAAAGTCGGAAGTTCTTTGAAAAGGAAATTGAAAAATTTCCCACTGAATGAAAAGAGAAGAGTATATATTAAAAGACCATGGCGGTTTCTTGCTTCGATTTGATTGAAATTTTATTTTCAACTTTATTTGATAAATCCCCCCGACAAAATTTTCGCGTCAATTTAATGATTTCTTTCTTTTTTAATTTATATTAATCGGATTAGTAAAAGATTCAGATCAGTAAAATTTGAGAAACTAAAATATTATATTTTACATGCATATAAGTATAACATTATAAGTATATAATTGTAGTAATTTTATAAAAATAAATCTTTACTTGAACCCATCTAAATAAATAATGTGTAAAAAAATATGTAAAGTGTAAACCATAAAAAAACGCAGTAAAATTGCACGCAATCAAAATTAATACTCACTTGACTGTCAGTTGTCGTTGGATCAAGAGCTTCTTCTCGATCTGTTCGATCGGGAATTGAGGTACTTCATAGGGTGCCGAAATCTCATTCGGCAACTCGTGGGATGCAAGTCTCAAGCCAGTGCTAGCGGCTGCACCGCTGGCACCACCCTCGATGCCGAAAACTGGGCTCTCGCTACCTGCAGCGAAAAACAAAATAATTTTATTAAAATACAGAATGATCTATTGCAAAATATTGAATACTTTCTGTACTGTAATATAAAAAAAAATGCTGAATTAAATCTAGACATCAATAACAAATTTTTATTTCTAATTCGATATTTTGAATTATTTTATTTGGATGTTAATATTATTGTTTCAACACGATTTATTGTTTCTTTATTATTCACTCCTGTTTGTGCTTAAACTTCATGCATACAAATATATAAACGTGTCTTGATATTAGTGAGAAAACTGCATATCCGGAAAGCATATGTGTGTTATAAGTTAAAGAATTTAAAGCACATATCTCTCATTTGCTACAACGATACAACTAAAACAAACAAAGTTTCCCAAAAAATGAATAAAATTTGAATGCTATGAAGTTTTCCAAATAAATGAATAAAATTTGAATATTTGGAAGTTTTTCAAAAAATGAAAAAAAATTTGAATATTTTGAATCGTTTAAATTTTTTAATATTAATTTTCAAATGCAATTTTTATGTAAAAACTGATTGTAGAGGAATAAAAATAGGCACTTAAAAATTTTTTTTTCTTATGTTCTCTTTCTTTTTACGCAAGTAACTAAAAAAATGATAATTTTTTAATTGTATCGTTGTAAGCAAATGATTTTTATTATAAGTGATATAAAATATACGTTAGAATTTGATGATCTCTTACAATTAGACATCTAATTTACACAAACATATAGACAATAATTTACACAAACATATAGAGACTCGCGATACATAGAAATTACGAAATTTCTGTTTCGTTTAAAGAATATAAAATAAATGAAAAAAAATTGGAGGGAGATCGAAACCTTCGAATAATTGTCGATTTACCATTATTTACGTAATCCGTGGCTTGTCCTGTTTTCTGCAACCACTCGGTAACCGAATTGCGCTTGTACACGGCAAGAATTTCATTCTCATTTCCCATTTCGAGAATATCTATCGTTTTCATCAACACGAATCGTTATAACGTTCCTGCAAGCATTTTCCGGTTTTACTATACACTTGTGTTTACACGATCCCGTCACTCGGAGGCATAGACTTATAAGATAGACTGCGCGGCCCTTTGTTCTCGGTGAAGCAGAAATCGAAAGCGAGAGGGCTACACGCCACACTTCTCTTGTCCTTGTCCGGCACGGCTGACAGCGGCCGGCGCGGCGCGGGTCTCCCCTCTTTTCTTCTCCCCACCAACGATTGAATAAGGACAAGAGAAGTGTGGCGTGTAGCCCTCTCGCTTTCGATTTCTGCTTCACCGAGAACAAAGGGCCGCGCAGTCTATCTTATAAGTCTATGCTCGGAGGGCTCGAAATGATCGATCGTGCCTGACTCGCCCAAAGATACGTATGCAAGAAACTTAAGATAATTAAACCGATAAATGGGTCATTACAGTTGACTGAAAATACACGCTTCCACGTTGTATGTGTAATTAAAAAAAAAAAATTAGCAATTTATTATCAAACATCCACAAATATTGAATAGTATCTGACCGTCAACTATACAATTATAAATGCAATTAGTAAGTTACAACCGTAATTAGTAATTGCCAGTTCACTGAATTTAAGTGAAACAAATAACTCTGGCGATCGTGATCGTACACGTGGTTTACGAAATACGAAACAGTTAATAATTGTTGGTATAAGCGATGAATTGTAAATTGTCATAAATAATTCCTTCATCGTTCGCATGATGCCGGGTCGATTCTAATTTGATATGATATCATTTTGTCACTCCAGAGAGTCCAGAGGGGGAGGGTCACCAGTCTTAACAGCGGTCGCACTTCCGCGAGAGAACGCATCGTTCTCCCACGATATGATCAATGAACCAATGAGCTCGCCGCGACCCTCGACAAATCTACAAAGAGCCGCGGTGCCGTGGGTTATTAATAGAACGGCGGGTGCGCGGTGCGTGATGGCGAGGACCGTTGTTTTCGTTCGTCAAACCAACGACGAGACCTCTCTCTCTCGTCTTCGGCGCCGCCGCCGCTGCCGCGCCGTGTTCGCCACCACGAGGGGCAACGAGGTTCTGGTCGCATGCATTATTGCGTCTGGGGAGTCGGGCGTTCTACAAACGGCGGACAAAAAGCTACGACGAATTCGTTATAAGTACAGTCGCAGACTTTACGATTCACGCGCGTATAGATAAACATCAGTATTACGTCTACGTCAGAGGACGTGAATTGGGGTGGAGGGGATTGCGTCAGGGATAATTAGATTACGCCTGTACACCGATTTCTCTGCGTTTAATTTGCATGAAATTGACACGGATGTACTCTTGTAACCTATATATAGAGAGAGCTAGTTAAATACTCCTCTTTACGTCTGTGGCGTTGCTCCGGTTTTATCTTTTCTAACAATTTCAAACTTCTTCCTTTCAAAAATCGCATTAATTTTGACACTAATTTTGACATTAAATTTGGCACTGTTACACCAATTGATTTTAATAATAATAATATTTATATATAACCTTATAAATATATAAGTAAAAATATATATATGGTTACAGCTTAACATTCGCGCCTAAAATCGATTTATATCTGTTTAAAAAAAAAAGATAAAATGACAGGTTCAAATATTCCAATGTGAATCAATAGCAAATACTGTCGGCGACAAGAATTTCGAGGCACGATGTCAACAGGCGACTCGCCTTTTGTCCGAGCATTGACGGGCGGCGAAGACCCGCGGATGAAAACATCGGCGCTCTTGTACTATAAATAGTTGACCCGAAGAAATATTCTCAGATCGCTTTCCCGCAAGGTCGGTACTCAGAAACCGTTTTTACACCGCTGTTTTCTAAGCGCCGGGCGCGTGATGATTCACACGCGCTTACCGAGTCACTTTGCCCAACTATCAGTTTACGATTCCACGAAGAACGGGAATTACATGCGACGCAGAACCTCTTTGATGAATGTGCAATTTGTTCTTGGATCTAACCGTCTCATATGGATTTATTTTCGTATCTGGGATTTTCACGTAGCGTCCGCGTGCACAAGATAAGCGCACTGCCATTTATATTAATTAAGACAATGTTACTTACAGATGCAGTTTTCGCGGAGAAAAAAATAGATTCTAAATTTACGAATCTATAGATCTCGAAGAAAAAAAATTTATATCCTTAATCAAGTATATTCCTGAAACTGGCACGTCGAGTGTTTTACAAAAACAAAATAATCATAAAGGTCGACACTTTAATTCGCAACTGTAAAATTTATCTCAAAATCTGCATAAGAAGAAGAATGTTATCAACACCTGCGTAAATGACTCGAATGGCTTTTGTGAGACAAAAGTAACCGTCATGTGAAATTAGTAAGTAACTTCAGTTCGTAAGATATGTCGTGAATCGCGACTTATCTGCGACTTTAAATAACTGGATATATCAGAATAATAGTCCGAGTGTTTGAGTAATAATATTGAAACTATCTAATACTATATCGACAGCACATTAATCTCTATAATTACAGGACCTCTTTCGTTCTTTCATGATTCACTTTGCGTTATCAAAGTCTATATACTCGCGGGATCGTGCGAAGCCCACGAGAAAAAAAAATAGTACTTAAATTAAATCTTAATTGCGCGGGATGTCGTAAGTTTGTTGCTCGTCTCAGCAAGTCGAGTGTATCTACGCTTTTTATTTACGACCGTATTATGTTGATAAAAACATCGTTCTGACGCAGATGATAATTAGTTGGGCTAACGATACATCGTATCTTACCGCGTCTTGTCACGAAAAGAAGGCGAGAAGGGCCGCGTATGCGTTATCGCGTAAAGTAAATTAACATTTTTGTCGCAACGTGAGATGTTGTTTACTTTGGCGAGTGACTTTCGTCAGCGATCGACACATTTGAGGAGCCGATTGCGCGATGCATCGACATCGATTAACGCTAACTCTGCACGTCAACTGGGTATTCTCGCTCTATGATGTATGGGCCGCTTCATAATAAAATGCAAACATTGCATTATTCCTTGCAAAATTTACAGCTAATATTTTGTCGGAATTGTCGGAAGACATCGTCATCGTGCAACATTTAAAATCTCAATTAAAATTCTAAAAGAAAGATATGTATAGATTGAGCAATGAATGATAATTTTTCATGATTCCTTGAGACTTCATTTGAAAACAATTTCGAGCGTTTCATTCCAAAGTTCTATCTTACATCAGCTTGTACAGTTGGCGTCTGAATGGTTAAGATATTTGATAGGCGATATTTAATTTTATATATTCTTATTGATATTACTGTAAAATAAACGAAAGAAAAAATTCAAACATTCCTTACGTTATTATCACAGCATTCCTAACTTATTTATCGCTAAGGATTACTCAAGGAGCAAAGAATATCTTAAACATTCCGACGCCGACTACGTGCTCCTAAAAGTGCAAACGGCTCGTTTTAATCGCGAGTCCTCAGATTGTGATACCAAAGAATCAGACAAATCGCACGGTCGATGCAACGCCAATTGAAATTTCTCTGTGAATAACTACACAAACTTGCGAAACGAGGCGCTTTCCGTGAGATCCTCCGGGGGGAAATAGTCACTCGATCCGTATGAATGTCCGTTTTATCTATCGCCGAGAAGTTTATAACGATGAGTTCGCTTCGGAGAAAACGGAGCGCGGCGCGAGATGCGAGATAGCTCTCGAGAGCTCTTACTCTGTCTCTCCCGCAAGAGAGTATACTTTGCTGCGTGTGTTTAGTCGACGACGCGTCGGGGGGCACTGACCATACCGACGACTGCGACTGGTCCGCGAGTGTCGAATGCACACACCGACTATGCCAGGGTGAGAGGAAGGGACGGAGAATATAACTTGGTGAAGAGAATCTTGGCGACGGGCGGAGCAGCATCGTGGAATCCGCGTGTGTACGCTCCGCGCGTAAGCCCGCGCGCCACGCGCGACGAACACGCGTACGCTGTCGCGCGTGCACGGATTAGCTCCATTGTTAAGGCTACAATTATTCGATAAGGCTATACATA